AATGTTTCCTGTCTTTGCTGACAACCTGTCCTAGTCCTACTCCCCAAATATGGATATTTCCAAGGGATCCATCCTAGGCAGAGTACTTCCTCCTCTCACTCTTCCTCCCACCATTTTTCTGACCCTAGCCTTTCACTTCTCACTCAGGGACAGCTCAGTTCTGAAACTGTCATCTCCAGTGATAGCCCACCTCAGAAACCCAGTATCATGTTTCTCTTGGCTATAATATCACAGTGAACTATCTCACTGAGATCACAAATTAAATATAACTAAAAATTCGACCAACATATCATTTGTCCTCTGGATTTTCTTCTGATTGATTTTATGAAGTAAGAAAGCTGGAAACTTCAAACCTATCTTTATCTTCTTTTTTTTTAACTTCAGCTACTCCATCCAGTTAGCTCCAAGTTCCAGTATGAATTTTCACATTTTAAAATGGAATCTTTCAATTTTTCTCCCTGAGATTACTTTTTAAAAAAAAATATTTAACCTTCACCCAGGGTCACTGGTTCTGGGTGAAAATCTAATAGAGAATGAACCCATCTCCCGCCTTTTGCTTTAAGATCTCTCTCTTGTCAAGTTTCTTCTACAAATGCCATCCCTGGATTTTCCTTATTTGTGTGTCTAGGCCTTAGCTTGGCACTTATGGAAAACTGTATCATTGTGGTGGTATCTACTGTAAAATGAAATTGGGAAAGATTGAAAGTAGGGTGACCAAATAGATGATCTGGCTTTCCTTTTCAAATCTCATTCTCCTTGTCCCTTCCATTTTGGGATAACTTTGTGACAGTGTGACCAATGAGACATAAGCTGAAGTCTGCTATGAAATTCAAGGGGGAATTTCTGCTTGCTTGCTTTTATCCACCCTGCTAATATAGACACAGATATGATGAGTAGACTTGAAGCAGCCTTCTTCCTGCAATTGTGAGAGAAAGGCAAAGAGATTCACAGAGACTTTCACAGTAACATCATGAATTATATAACTAACATCACCAGTTGTCTTCTCCATATTTGTTATTATGTGAGAAAAAATAAACTCAAACCCTCGCTCCTGTGGGGAGAGTGGAGTTTTCTTCCATATTTTGGTGACCCATTCGGAATCTCTTGCTTGCTTATCCAACTTGGCCCCTCCCCATTGCTGAACTTCTCACTTTGATACTAAGTTTTCAGCTCAGCATGCCCCCTTGTCTCCAGGGATGCTTGATGTTCCATGATGAACCAGCTTATCCCTCCAAGTGACCTCCATACTGAAAACCAGACAGTATTCTTCTAGCCTGGATTCTTCAGACCTTGTCCTGGATGACTGATATAGTTTCCTGGTCTATTTGGTCACCCTACTTTCAATCTTTCCCAATTTCATTTTACAGTAGATACCACCACAATTAGATTTTTATAAAGAATATTTGGTAATAAAACCCAATGGTAATACACATCAAATGATGTACTAAAATATCTTCAGTGGTTCCATACTGCCTGCTTAACTAGATATTCAAATACCCCTATAATATCACTTTATTTAATCAGCCTGATTACAATTTTTCAATATTTAACCTATTTTCTTAGAAAATAGAATGTTCTTGATCTTTAAATGGATCCTTCGATCTTCTACTTCTATAATTTTGTTTAAACTACTTCTCCCCCTAGAATGTGTCATGTCTTGTTCTTCATTTTGTCCTCTAAAGATAACCCATTTATCAAGTCTTAGCTCAAGTGTCTTCTCTTCCACAGCATAATAACTTAATATGGAAAATTTTTCACTTTTCTAGCATCTCTTGGAATAGCTACTTAAGGCACACAACATAATCACATAGTTTTACTGAGGCACTCCTGAGATTAGCAGCTTCTTGAGGGCAGAAATGATTTAATAATATTTTATACATATGTTCAATAAATATTCATGAAGTCTTTTTTCTATGTGAAGACGGTACGAACAAGAGAGATAAGGTCCTTCTTCTGTAGTTTATGTTCTCGGGATGGAGGGGCAAATTTTACAGACAACAAGTAAGGGAATAAATAAACAAAATAGGATCATCTCAGATTCAGATTGGGCAGTGAGAGAAGTTCTCCCCAAGGAGGTGATATTTGAGATGAAACCTCAAATGATAAGAAGAACCAATCGCAAGAAGACTGAAGAGCAAGTGGGAAGTTGCTGAGTTGGGTCTGACTATGATGTGCCTGGAGAACACAGGGAGGGCAAGTGGATGGAGGATGGTGGGCAGGTGGGGGAGGGACAGGGAAGGCTAGTGTGACATGAGGTTGCAGAGGTGGCAAGGGCTGACCTTGAAGGTCTGTGGAGGCCAAGCACAGTGGCTTGGATTTCATTCTAAGGTTTTAAAAAGGGAGTAACACGATCTAATTTACAATGTAAAATGATCTCTCTGGCGGCTGTGGAGAAAACGGATTATATAGGGTCAAGAGTGGAAGCAGGAAGATTAATTGGAAGACTTCTGCTGTAATCAAGGGTATGAGATAATAGCAGGTTGGATTTGGTGGTTATAGAAGAGGAAAGAAAAAATGGGACTCACAGTCTCCATGATATTATGCACAGTAAATTGAAATATAGCGTTCAACACATATATGCCTTAATAGGTATCTACTTCCAAATAGTTTCTCATTCTTCGTTTCTATCATACCTTTGAGTTTTTCTGGTTTGGATCACACATTATGGCTTAATATATCCCTGTTTGGCATTTGAAGAGCCAAAGAGAAATATATTAAAAAAAAAACCCTTATATAAATTTAAGAAAATAGTAAGGGATCTACTACCAAAAGTCACTTAACAAAAACCTGAAAAGCTGGAGTTTGGAGGGTCATATTGCTAAGTTAAAGAAATAAATCCTTCGAAACAAAAAGTAGAACTCAAAATCTGTGATAGGATGAAAATGGATGGGGTATTCAAACACAAAGACTGCATTAAAATAAAAAAGAGTCTCCAGTTAACACTAATTGCAACAGTGTGCCTTAATGATTGATAGGATAATTAATTTCCATTGAAATTGAAGATTCTCCAGTTCTAACTTACTCTTGCTTCTCTGGAAATATAAAATCTTCACATTACTATCTTTACATGATAAATTTCCCGATAAGTAAGCTAACACTACCTTAAATATTATCTTACTAGAAAGGAATGTTTATAAAATTCTAAGAGCACTGAATGTGACCTGCTTTGTTTCTAAATTAGGAATCTGGGGAAAGATGAGTAAATTCAGTGGGTTCTCATTCTCTTTCACATATGCCTTCCAGGACATTTAGGATATTGCCTATGAAGATTCATCCTGCATTATGAATTAAATCCAAATTCCTTCAATACAAAGTAAAATCCTGGAGAAAATAGGATGATTTTTTGCCACTTTTTCACCCGAAATGCTAAATGGGCCCTGAATCAATCGTGTGAAACTTGGCCCCAGTCGGTGTGAAAACTGGCTGAAATCTGTATGAAAGGCAGTCTGGGTTTGTCAAAGTAGTTCATGAACTTTGAACAAACTTTCAGGGAACCGAGTCCAAGTCTTAGTTTGTAATGCAACATGAAACCAGGTGAATTTCAGAAGGTTTCAAGTTTCATCCTGAAAATTTGGCCTAGCTTTATAATCAATCATCACTCTTGGTCACGATGAAAGCCAACACACCTTTTTGAAAACGAGAACTGCATGCAGACTGATGACAGCTAAGCTGCGAACCACCCCTTCACTTCCTTTGCCAGAGAAGAGTTCTCAGAATGGAAACAGTTTCCCTCTTACCTGGAAAGGCAAGTTGAGTGATTTTGGCATTGGGTGTAGAAAGAAATGATAATCAATACGTGGAGACACGCCTTGTGAAATGATCATCACCTACAGAGCAAGTGGCTAATGTCTAATCAGTTCAAGTGATGGGAGATTTATTCCATTCCCTTCTATGCAGTAGATAAGCATGATGTTTACTCTCTTGACCATTAAGATCACTGGCTAGAATAAGTACCCTGAAAACTCTCCAAGGCGTAATCATTATTTCTATATGAAGAATGAAGGATAAAAAGAAAAGTAAATCAGAACGTGGCCTCTATCTTGTTCAAGAAACACAAGGAGATAAGAAGACAAAAAACTTTCAGGTTTGCATCAACTGCAGTTTTTGCAAAAAAACAAACCAATGGACCCCTGAAAGCTCTATGCAGTATAAATGAATCCAATAATTAACTAAACACAGTACACTTTACAGAAAGACTACATAGTTTCTGTTTTCAACCTGAAAGTTTCAAATGTGCTTTCCACTGGAAAAAAAAAATTACTCTCTTCAACCAATTACTTGCTGTTGTGCATAGTGACATGAGAAAATTGAAAGGTATGTCTGAACAGAGCCACTACATCATTGGAACAGTATGTCTGAACATTTGGATAATAAGGCACAGATGTGAAGCAGAGGACTTGGCACTACCAAGGTAACAACAAAGCATTCACCATTGGTTATAATGGTTTAAAGGGCCATATTTGAAAAGAATAAAAGATTGCCCCCTCCTCCCACTATGCTAAATCATGTTACACCTTTTATCTGCCTAAAAATATGCAGAAAATCAGACAAATAAGTATTATTCCAACACAGGATAAAGAATAAATATGTAGAATACATTAATATTTTTATCTATAATAAAGCACATTTATGCAATAACACGTAAAGTTTAACTTAAGAAAAAGACCACATGGCCTTCATGTTGCAAAACAATGCATGCAAACCCAAAGGACCCAACAGTCATTGGGAAGGTGGCTGCTGAGGACAGCTAGAAGTGATGCTGCCCCTTAATCAGTGGTCTAATTATTGCAGAATGTTTTATTCATGGGCATCAGGTTAAGATAATGCATAAGATATATACATTAGTCATTATTAAGCTTTTCCACTTACAAGCACTGTGGTATTTGTGTCAGTCATTACTAAATCATGCAGCACGAGGGCACTTATGACAGTGGGGTACTTTCATTAAGTTTGGAGCAGGAAACTAATTTTCTGCCCAGAATAGGAAAAGTACAACTTACCCGAGGTCCCTGATCACCCTGTTCTCCCTGTATAATTGGAAGATAAGATGACAGCTTTAGCCAAAATCCAAATCTTAAAAAGGTCAAAATATAACACAGTACAGGGTCATGCCAATATGAATTTCCACTAAATTAGTTTTTGTCATGAATTTTCTTACCTTATCACCTTTTGGACCAGGGGGGCCCTGAAAAAAAACAGAGAGAGGAGAAAAAAAAGTGTAATTTAGAAAAAACAATTGCAGCTTGAATAGATCCATTAGGTCAGTAGAAGATATATACAAAGGGCATGAAGATACAGATGTCAATGACATTTCTCAATAAATTTTGGTTTCTGAACTATAATTGTATTATAATTGGAATATGAAAATGGCAATACGTGTGTATATGCAGACATTCATGCAGCTATGTTTCGTCATCAGAATGTGGTACGTTGAATGGATTTTCACAAACTGAACACACCTATGCAAGGAGATCTCAGTTAAAGAAACAACACTATCAGCAAGTCAGAAGCTCTGGTTGTCACATGTCCTTGTCATTACTCTGTACCACTTGTTAACTGCTGTTCTGACCACTGACAACTTTATATAAGTGAAATCACACAGTAAGTGTCTGCTTGTTTTTGATCAAAGTGTATGCAGTTTATTCATAATTTGTGCATAGTTGTAGATGGCTATTACTGCTTTCGAATATTCCACTGTATGAATATAGCATAATTCATCCATTCATCCTCCTGTTGATGCCCATTTGTTTCCAGAAGGTTAGAGGCGCTGGACTATTAAAAATAGTGCTACAACAAACAGCCTCATACAAGTCTTTTGGTGAAAAGTTGTATTCATTTCTGTTGGGTATACAGCTAGGAGTGGAACTGTTTGGTAATAGGAGTATACGTGTTTAATTTTAGTAGGTCCTGTCAAATAGCTTTCTCAAGTGGCTTCTACAATGTACACCCTCATCTGCAATGTATGAGAGCTTCAGTTGTTCCACATCATCATCAATACTTGGTGTTGTCTATCTTTTTCACATTATATGTCCTGATGGGGGTGTAATAATTTCAGGTTTTTTAAAAATTTGTATTTCTTCTGGGTTCAGTAAGTTGAACCACTTTTTATACATTTATTGGCCATTTTACATCCTCTTCTATAAACTATCCATATCTTTTTCTCTTGTTCTATTGAATTGTTCTACTGCTTTGCTATAGTTCATTACACATTACATATTGTATGCCATGCATTTGTATGTAGATGGGTAGGGATATATAGTAGAGCTCTTTACATACTCTGAATGAGTCATTCATCAGCTTTGTTAATGCAAACATATTTTCCCATTCTGTGTACTGCTTTTATATTTTCTAAAAGGTTTTTTAAATGAATTTTAAATAAATTCAGTATAACTTTTTTTCTTTATAGTTGTCTTTTTCTTTTTTGTATTTCACTTAAGAAATCATTGCCTACTCCAATACCAAGAAGAGATTCTTCTACATGTAGTCTAAAAACCAAAAGCCTCATTATTTTATCTTCCATATTTGGATTTGAACTCATTGGGAACTGATTTTGTAAATGATAGGCGATAAAGTTAGGATGCTTTTTTCTCTAAGTGGATATCAAATTAACCAAACATCATGTAAGGAAAAGGCCTCTTTTCCCCATTGAGGTACTAGGTTACCTTTGTCATCAATCAGGCGACCATACATGTATGTCTCTTTTCAGAAATTTCTTCTTTGGTGGGCAGCTGTCTATTCTTTAGGCACTTTGAGATTTTCTCTGCCTTTGAACAAAAGCACTAATGGGAAATACTCATTCTAGAGGTATTAATTATGCTGTCTTCTCTAGTTCTTAAATATGAAGTCATGTTTTGTGGTTCAGCCCAACCTAAGGAACTGGAGCATTTCTAAGTCACCTTTAATCTCTCAGCTGTTTGTAGCAGGATTGGGAGACAAGGTCAAGCTCAGATAGGAAGTAAAGTCAAGGTTACTAACCCCTATCTTAAATTTCCCCTGCTGTTCCTCTGCAGGTGGGCACATAGCAATATTCCATCTAAATACTTTCTTCTGCTAAGAGCCAGTCACAGAGGAACTACTCTAGCTAGAGCTGAGAGGTTATCATGAAATTAAGAGTAACAGATCAGGTCTCATATTTTGTTTATTTTACATTGACAAAGAACTTTCACCTGTTATTGCTTAATCTTTCCCACAATGCAAGGCAGAACTTATTATGATAATCCTTACATAAACGTCCCAAATGAAACTCAAATCTTATCTATGTTAGGCCTCTTATGAGTCTGTCAGGCTTCTAATCCAGTCTTCATGACTTCAAATGCTGGGGTTTTGAGACTAAAGCTCTTGAACACAGATCTAGAACTGCATTCTCAGAGTCATGTCAGGTATCTGGTACCTGCCCTCAGCATTGTGCCTTCTGAAATGCCTCCCAACTGCACATTCCCCACTGCCATGGACACTGGTCCCAAGACCTCAAGAATCTAAATGAGAGAAAACAAGGAGACCCGGAGGGTGACAGGAAGCTAGACCATGAGATGACCTTGATAAAAACCTTTCACTCAGATCAGTAGAGGAAAGGGACCTGGGAGTGGTAGGCGGGAGGGAGGGGAGCAGTGCTAGGGACTGATATTGGTCATTATTGCATGCATGTATGAGTATGTAACAATAAATCCCACCATTATGTACAAACATAATGCACCAATAAAAAAAAAAAACATGGGGAAAAAACATAAAAACCTTTCTCTCTTATCTGCAAATTATTTTATCACTGAAAAAGGGAAGTGAGAAAATTATTCCTTCTTAAAAGAGAAAATTATTTTTCTTAATGTTTTCAGTAAAATTTTAATATCCTTATTAATATTTTCAATAAATCACGTTGTAAGTAAAAATTATAGTCTACCTACTATCTGTAAAACTAAGGAATTTACTTGGTAATTTTAACACATACAAATGTTCATGAATTCTGTTTAGGTCAAATTATATTTTTGGTAGAGCAAAGGAAAAGAATAGTGAGGGGATTCTTACCATCATATTTGTGCAATAGAATGAAGACTCTAGTCTTGATTTAAGTTGCCTGTCATTGAACTCTATTTTGACTTTTACATACATCTGTTGGATGTTTCTAAAGAGTTCACCAATGTTCTGAGTACTGACAGAGCATATAGTGGGAGAGGCTGATTTAGAAAGATGTGGTCTATCCCTGTCCTTAAAAAAATAACTGGTTTAGCACAATTTACTGGCCTTCAGGAAAAATGACTCCTAGTTAAGTCCAACAACTTTAAGGTTAGCTTTTAATATAGACTATACCCAGGTTTTTCTCCTCTTCCCCTGCCTGCTTTTGCTAATAAGATTTCAGAGGCCAAGCCTTCCAAAGGCACTCTGTGAGGTTCTAAGGTATGTTCTCAGGCTTTTCTGTAAAAAAAAATTTTTTACAGTAGGGAACAGAAGCAACTCCTTTTCTCAAAGTCCAATGACCAAGACCAAAACCTCATGTATCAACTAGTGCTCTGTAGCTGGAGCGCCTGGAGCAAGGACGCTGAATTCACGAACACATGAAATCTTGCACTCAAAACTGAGTAATAAATACTGCTGCTTCAAGGGCGGGTGTTTCTGAGCAGACAGCATGGCGTCCTGACACCTGCCAGCTCAAGACAGAAGCCAAGCCGAGGTCAACCTCTACTCACAGCTGTGGTGGCTGCTTGGGACACTCAGCCCCCACTTGTGTGTGGGATTAACAGCAGGTGTTTTCTTCTGTTCTGACTGAAATCCCACTTTTCTTTCTGAGTTGAATTTCTTCGCTGAAACCTGGATTTAATCTGAAGACCAGAGTGGGCCACCTTTGTAAACAGCATTTCAAAATTTGGGAGCTGTGGTTGTTTTCTAAGCCAAAACATTACAAATTTTTAAAAAAAAAAAAAGTCCTTGAATAAGAAACTTAAGTAAAACAAGAATTCAAGTTTGCCTTGGCCTTAAATTAAAAAAAAAACCTCATTACTATTTATTAAAGGATAGAGACCAATACAAATTAATAACTCTAATTGATTTACAGTGTATCAGTAAATGGCATTTTGTTGTTTCCAACAACACCAAGTTTATCAATCTAATACTTAGCAGATGTATTTGTTGTTTGGGTAACAATGTCAATGTCTGGATGGTTAACTATTGGTAAAACCAAGTTGAGATCAATGAAAAGATGAAATAAGGCAAAATTAGTATCGTAACTAACTAGACTGTGAGTCACAGATTTATATCAGGTTTCTTTTGGGATTCCCCACTTTCTTGTCTTCTCTAGAATGTTGGAATTTGATCTATAAAAGATGTATTAAAGCACACTTTAATAAATAAAAAATTTGAAATGATTTTTCTAGATAGATTTATGCATAAATTAGGTCTCATTACATAAATTCTAAAAGGTACTAGTAACATTCATATTTATTAGTGTTGATAGTAGTTGGAACATTTCTTTTAGAGCATTGTTAGCGTTAACAATGTGGCACTCAGTTAACTGGTTTGCTGACACACTCTTTATAAATTTTGGAGGCAAGCTTCAAAGTAACTCTTGTTCAAACGACTTTAAATTCAGCAATTATAGTGTACCTTTCTGTTTGTTCCAAGTTGTTGATGTAGGTCTTGGCCTATATTGATTCTAGTCTCCCAAATCTATTTCTTGCCCAATAACTAATATTTTAGCTATTTTTCCATTCTCTATTGTCTATTTCAATTAAATGGGAAAACTAAACTAAAAGCATAAA